CTTAGAAAAATAAAGTCATTTTCTTCAAGGCTTTTTGTCTTAATTTAAAAAAGTTACAGTAGCTGCTCACTCCCTGGGAGAGCTGCCCATTTCTGGCTCCCCTATCACTGCACTCAGCCCAAGAGCTGCTCCCACTTCTGACCCCCATTCCTGCCTCTCACCCCCTCCCAGACCCCACCCTGCTCACTGCAACTTGGGCCCCAGGCAGCTGCAGGCCTGGGGGAGCACAAGGCTGCAATGCCCATGTGTGTGGCACAAATGAAGTCACTTGCCTCTACCTGATACCCTCCCACCCCCAACCCCCACATTTGGTTTCCCTCTTCCCTCTCCCTAACAGCCCTAAAGGGCAAAAAGAGGCCCAGAGCTGTGGGTTACCCTCCCCACCCCGTTGGGGCATGGCCTGAGGGCCCCTCCCCCGGCTTTCTCCTGGAAACAACCCAGGACCGGGCAACCCCAGAATCTCCCCCCCACACTGGCGGACCCCGAGCTCATGGGGTGGCTCTGTCCCCAGGGGCCCGGCCAGTTCTGGGGAGCCCAAGGGCTCTCCAGGGAAGGGGAGTTTGGGCAGAGAGGGGGACGAGAAAAACGCCATAAAAAAAAGTTAAATATTTTAAAAATATATATTTATAGATTTGTTTTCACTTCGTCTCCTCAAATAAAAAGTTCAAAATCAACTTTAAGTAAAGCAGCTGGGAGAAGGGGGGGAAGACAACAGGGAGAAGGGAACGCTGGTGGTTCCCTCCAACCCAGGAGCCCCTGGAGGTCCAAGGGGAGTGGCAAGGCAGGGCAGGTGGTCCCAGGAACCTGCCCAGTGCACAGGCCCAGCTACTCAGGAGCTGAAGGGGCAGAGGGCTGCGGCGTGAGGAAAGAAGCCCCCATCTCCCAGCTGGCTCCCTGAGGGGCAGGGGCAGGGCTCTTTTGACCCAGCCTGTGGCAGACACAGGACTGACCTGGGGTCAGCAAAAAGGCTGGACAGAGGGCCCCAACTGCTTCCTCAGGGGAGGACACGGTGCCCAGCCCCACAGAAGGCCTGTGTGTGGGAAGGTAGGGCACGGTCCCATTGGGTAAGCTAATACTTATGGCAAACATCGAGCCAAGCTGGCAAGGGGAGTCTGAGGAGGGAGGACAGCCCCACCATCAACTAAAATGGGAGGTGGAGCTGGAAGGAGGGGAGGGTGAGGGAGGACGGGTGGAGGGCAGGCAGGCCCATTTCTTTGGCTGGAGTGAGAGGGCTAAGTCCTGTGGCTGCCCGCTCCTCCTCCCCGCCTCCCTCCTGCGGCCCCATCAACGTGTGTGTAAAGAAAACGTGAAAAGGCAACAATAAATAAGTGGTGCCATCCCTTGGGCCATCTGTCCAGGGCGGCGGGCGGATCATTCACTCTTGGTGCTGTGGGCGGCATCCAGGTTCACCACCTGTAGCTCGGTGAGGTTGCTGCTGCTCCCGGCCTGCTGCCCTATCACAGCCATCTGGAGAGAGGGGGTGTGTGAGGAGGGAGGAGAGGACTGACCAGCCAGCTCAGGCTGACCCCTGATCCCCCATCCCCCACCCCAGAAAAACAGATGGGCCTCTGGGCTAGGGCTGCCGGTAAGGGGGTCCCCCAAGGTCAAGATAAGGAAGTAGCTATCTGGGATGGGGTGAGAGGTGCCCCCGCACCTACCTGGTGAAGCTGAACTGCAGAAACAGGGATCTGCACTGTCCCAGATGGTGCTGTTAGGAACACCTGGGGGACGCCACCTGCATTGGAAACCACAGGAAATGCTCAAATCTCTTGCTCAAGAAAAACTTCCAGATACTGGAGGAGTGGTTATAAAAGCACAAGTGACTGGGTGAGCCTCTCAGACATTAAGTGCCAAAGGATGAATGTCCCAATGTGTCTGAAGGTGTATGTGGGGTATAAGTGTCTGAGTGAGCACATGTGTCTAAGTGGACAAGCAAGGGTGTCCAAGTGTGTGTGTGAGCATCCAGGTCTGTGTGATTGGGGCAGGAATACGTGTGGGCATCTGAGTGTATATGGTGTGCAAGGAAGAAGATGGTCCTCCTTTCCTTAGCCCTGTTCCTTTACTCACCTTGTTCCTGGACCTGGCTGTGGGACACCTGCATGGTGGATGGCGCCTGGGAGAAGGCATTCAGCACGGTGAGGCTGCCATCAGCCAGGCCTGAGGTGGGGGCATACATCACCGCATGGGGACTAGGGTACATCATGTGGCCACCCACAGTCGTGGGCACGGATGACGTCATGATGGTGGCGGGCAGTGTCACTGGCAAACACAGACATATGTCAGCTTGGCACTGATCCCTGTGATACCCCTGATCCACCCCAAGGAATTCCAGGCCTTCACAGTCCCTTTGCCATTTCCCAGGTCAAGAGCTAGACAAGACTGCTCCTTTGCTACCTGTCATAAACTAAGAAAAGCCTAATTTTTTCTTGAACACAACAGCACCAACCATTCATTGTATCTTATCACATCATACTATTCGACTGTCTGCCCCAAGACCCTAACTTGGGAAAAACAAAGACAACAATGACTGACCCACTCTCAGGAAACTCAGATACCCCCATTTTAGGGATTTCTATCATCTAATTTTTTATTTGTTCTCATTCCTTCTCCCCCTTCCTAAATGCACAGCTAACAAATTCATCTTTTAAACAAACAAGTCTCAAATGTTAATGAACATACAGTCACCTGGGACTCTTGTTAAAATGCAGATTCTGAGTCAGTAGGTGTGGGGTAAAGCTCAAGATTCTGCATTTCCAACAAGCTCCTGGGTAAGGCTGGTACTCCTAGTCCATACACCACACTCTGAGTAACAAGGTTGTAAAAAACAAGAACTTAAAAGTAAGTTTATTTTGAAAGTGTCTCGTCATATCTGAAACTACTAGAGATACCTGAGGGGAACTATGGCCACCTAAAACCTACAACACCTCCCACAAGGAGACAGCTGCTCTATAAGTCCTTCCTAGTAATTAAGCAAAGGTTGTATCTTTGGGCAAGTAACTTCTCCTTTCTAGGACTTAGGCTTCTCATCTGAATGAGACAGTGGCTTCAATGGTCCCTAATTCCTTCTGGAATCCATAGCCCCACTGAAGGGCAAGATTCAAAACCCAGCCATCCTCACCTGACTTTCCCATAGGATTAGGCCAGCCTCAGTTTCTACTTCAAGAAATTCTCTGACCTTAGTTACAGGAGGGTTATTGTGGGCACCTACTGCTAGGCCTCATGGGAGACAGGCAGAGAGGGTGACAGGGCCATGAGCTATACCTGTCCCGCTGGAGGAGGTCTGCGTGAGGTCTGTGCTGCTGTCACGAGAGGGAGACGCTTGCTGTGGGGCCTGGTGCACTTGAATGGCCTGCACTGGGACCTGCTGGGCCACTGCCCCACCTATGAGACACAGAATCTTACTTGTGCTCTGTCCCGCTCAATTGCCACCTCCACCAAGCACCCGCAAACACCCCAGTCCCAGGGTTTGGCACACTGGTCCCCAATTCCTATTGCCATCTTTCCTGGGAGCCAAAGAGGCCCTTTATGCCCTGAATCTCTTTTCCAGGGGCTTCCATGCTCCACTCTTGCCCTTCCCTCCTCTCATCCTAGACCTTGCCTCTACTTTTTTTAATTGACCCAGGAGCTGGCAATGACCCATCAAGGACATGATCTGCCCTCCAGTCAAGATAGGGAAGTGACGGAATGTCTGCTGCCCCCATGGCAATAGGGGCACAGGGCTAGGCTAGATAGATAAGGCCAGGGCATATGGTTGAAACTTACAAGGATAGTAGGGGTCTCAGTGGGTAGGGTCATGCCTGCCAATGGGACATGAGAGGTCTCTCAGCCTCTGGCCCCTATACACCCTCCTTCTGGGAACAGAAAGGAGATCTCCTGGTGCCAGCCTTAAACCCACTCTTAGTGTGCTGGATTTGCCCCAGGGAAGACGAATCTTCCCTGCCCCTTGTAACTCACCAGGCATGAGAGTAAAGCTGGTAGGCAGCTGCATAAGGCCCCCAGAGGAGACAGGGCCGCTGCCTGTACTCTTCAGCACAGTCCCGTTGGCACTGCTGACAGCGCTGGGGCTGACGCTAGCAGACACTGGTGCCAGGTAGTTGGTGATGGGGAAAGAGGGGCCACTGCTGACTTGCATGGTGGTAGAGGTGCTGGGTGCTGTTTGGATGGTGGAGGTGGTACCCGGCAGGTTGGTGACTGTGAACGCTGGCTTCAACGTGTCCTATACCCAGAATAAAAATGAAGCAGTGAGTCTCTATCAGATCCTGCTCCTGCAGAAGCTTTGTATGGATTGAGAGCCCAGAATGAAACCAGTGAGCTTAGGTTCAAATTCCAGTTCCACCATTTACCTGCTGCCTGACCCTTGGGCAAGTTATTGAGCCTCTGAGTTACCGTTTCCTATTTGTAAAAGGAGCATAATACCTACCCCCATAGGTTGTTGTAAAGATGAAATAGGTTAACATACATAAAGCACTTAGAAAACAGTACCTGGCACATGAAAAGATCAAAATAAATATCTGCTACTCTTATAACAGTTATCATCATCATCATTATAACTCCATGAGTTCTCTGGAACTCCGAGTTCTACCCCAGTGGACTGCGGTAATCACATTGGCTGAGTCTGTTCTCAGCTCCGGCAATGACAATCCACATAACCCTGAGATAATTATTTTCTTTTTCTTTTTTTTTTTAAGACGTCTCATTCTGTTGCCCGGGCCAGAGTGCTGTGGCGTCAGCCTAGCTCACAGCAACTTCAAACTCCTGGTCTCAAGCAATCCTCCTGCCTCAGCCTCCCAAGTAGCTGGGACTACAGGCATGCGCCACCATGCCCAGCTAATTTTTTCTATATATTTTTAGTTGTCCAGCTAGTTTCTTTCTATTTTTTAGTAGAGATGGGGTCTTGCTCTTGCTCAGGCTGGTCTCGAACTCCTGAGCTCAAACAATCTACCTGTCTCAGCCTCCCAGAGTGCTAGGATTACAGGCGTGAGCCAAATTAATTACTTTCTTTTTCTTAGACTGTTTTCCTCTTCTAGAAACAGGAAGGGGCTGGACTGCTGAATTTTCTTTGAAAGAGTTCTTCCAGCTCTGATTTATCAGGTTTCTGAGATAGGGATTGAGAGTTTTTCAAGGAATTTAGGATTTGAGAGAGATCTTGGGGGTTTGGCAATGAAGCACTTCATGCCAAATACTCAAGATTTAAATTACCAAAGGAACTTATCTAGCAAAATGTCCTGAGAATAAGTGAGCGCTACCCGGATTTGTGAGCGTTACACGGATTTGAAAATGATTACAGACGTTATGTCACTAAGAGAGAGGGGAGCCTAGAGCACTGACTCTCCCCACAGGAAGTCTTGTTCTTAGAAGGGGAAGGAGGAAGCTGAGAACCAAGCCGCCAAGCCGAGATGCGAATTGAGTCAACCAGGGGGCTCAAATGCTGGGGGTGGGTCAGCGCAGGACGTTTGCTAAGCAGCTGGGTTTAAGACCCCTGATTGGTGAAGGCGTTGCTAAGGCAAACAGTGCCGCTTCCTTCCATTGGCCAGTTAGTTAAGAGCCACCCGGAAGGTGGAGCTCCCCAGACAGCAAGGAAGCCCCGCCCCCTCTCCTTACCGGGAAAAGGAAGGGGGAGGCGTAACTAGGGCCGGCATCCCAAGGCAGGCGAATGCACTCCCTAACTGCCCAGGCCCCTAACATCCTGAAGGGGTAGGCGTCTGGCTAGTAAGGTAGTTCCCAGCCTAGTCAACCCGCCTGCTTGCCAACAGTGCTGAGTTCCCAGGACCCTGGTTCCCCGAGTGCTCCCTTCCTACTCCCTGGCAGGCCGGCAGGGAGGGCAGGGCTAAGCTACACCCCCGCCCCCAGCGGGGAGACAGCTGGCGGGAGGAATGCAAAGGCCCTGCCAGGCAGGCGGGCTTCGGGAGGGAGGCCGGTGTGGAGCCCAAGCCGGCCTTATATGGGCACCGAGGCGGCCCGCTTATCTAGGGGGCCGGGCTCCTGTCAGGAAAGCGAGGATGGACACCTGTCCCCTAGGATGAGGGGCACTAACCCGGCTCCACTCCACATCAAGTGGGCATCTATCCACCTGTCCTGGGCTAAAGAGGCAGAGGAACCCCCTTGCCTCCCCTTCTCTTACATAGGCAACCCAAACACACCTTGGTCTCCCCACTGCTGTCAGACTCCGACACCTGGTAGGTGAGATCTGTCTCTTCAAAGCCAGTGGCACTCATTCTCTGGTCTGTGGTGGGGTCTGAGCGGGGCGGAGAATCTGGCGAGTTGAGGCAGGTCTGAATCAGTGCCTTGCCGGTCTCACTGGTGATCATGGGCTGCAGTTTGCGGGTGGCAAAGGTATACACATGGCCTGTCTCACTGGCCACCAGCAACAGCACCTGTGTCCCTGTCAGCGTGGACAGCTCATAGGCCTGGGGGGTGGGGAGGGAGATGGGAAGGTCAGCAAAACTTTTTATCTGTACCTTTCTTGGGGAATATGAAAGAGAAGAATTATATAGTGATATTAAGCCCCAATTACCATAATAACCTTCCTTGCTAGTGACTCTTGTGGGGGGGTTCTAGCAGGATATCTGGGAGCAGCAAAACTACCCATTCTCCCCCTTTGAGGAACAGTCCCACTGACCTGCAGATATCCCAAGCAAACACTCACAGCCCCCCAGTGATGGAACATCACTCAGGGGACATGGAGGGGCCCAGTTAGCTGTTCCTCAACACAGCTGGGTATCTGGAGCCCTATGGAGCCTCACCCCCTCCTCACTGTCACAGGGACCACGATGGATCCCTACTACTCTGGAATTCACACAAGACATTAGTGATAAGGGACCACTTAAGCTCCAAACTGTCCAGTGTTTCTTCCCAGAAACTCCACAGGTTCCAACTTGTTGCCATAACCTAACTTCCCCTTCCACCCTATAATACTGTACTACCCTTTTTTTATGTTTGGAAGAAGGAAGGAGAGAGTTTTTCTTCATAAACCAACCCCCCTCCAACCTTCTCCACTGATGATCAAGTGGCAAGGGGCACTGATACAAGAGTGCCTGGAGTGATGAGAGATGGGAGCTAGATTAGTACCAAATACCCTGCCACAAGCCCAGGAAGGGGACCTTCAAGCATTGGCCCCACAGATGCCATGCTCTACTCCCAATGAAGTTCCACAAACCACCTTGGAAGTGGCTCCAGTTTCTATATGGTATATATGTAAACACCAGCCCATGTTCTCCAGGTTCTAGCTTCCTGTTTCCCAAATCCTCTGCAACTATCCCTTCCCATATCTTCTACACCCAAGATGACTCCTTTCCTCACCACTTTTCACTGCATAATTGGTTGGCAGAGGAGGAATTTCTAGGTATCTCTGCAAAGCTCCCTGACTTCCCCACAAACTCTATCCATGCACAGATTCTCCCTAGGGCTGAAAACCCCAATTGTCGCAGAGGCAGGTTATTCTGCAGCCAGTCTGCCGGGAGCATGCGGTTTCCAGTGGATGCAATGGAAGACACATGGCCAGCGTAGGACTAGGTCCCTGCTGCTCAGGCCAACACCAGTTCCCCCGCCCTGCTCCCTTACCTGGTCCTTACCCCTGCCTGTCTTTCCAGCCAGCACTACTCTAGTGGTGCCCACCTTCCCTCCCACACATGCTCGCTCATCGTTGGCATGCAGCTCCAGCCTCTTCACCTCCATCCATACCTTCTCTCTTGCTCCCTGCTTTTCCCGCACCCTCCCCCGGAACACCAGGACACACCGGACCCGCTGACCCAGGCGACTCATTATACACCTCCCCGTCTGCCTCGCAGACTCCCATTAGCGTTCCTCACCCCTTCACTCCGCAAGGGCCCTCTTCCTCTCTCGCGCCGGTCACTCCCACCTCGGCGCCTTTCCCCGGTATTCCGGACGTTCGCAGCATCTCCCCTCTCCCCACATTCCCCGGGCGGCCCCTCCCCTCCGGCCCTCCCGGGCTAACAGCCATCCCCTCCCACACACCTCCTGCAGACTCGCTGCCTCTCACCTCCGCCAGGGCTCTGCCTTCCTCCAGGGCTCCCCCTGCGCGTCCCCACCCCTCCCGGTCCCCAGCGGCCAGCAGCCTCCAGGCTCGGTACCTTCTTCATGATGCCCGTCTTCCTCTTGCTGAAGGTCGTGTAGCGCCGCAGCTTGTTGTCGATGAACTCCATCTTGATCTTCACGCGGCCCCGGGTCTTCTTACCCGGCTTGGCCCCGCTCACCGCCCCGCTCACCGGCCCGTAGCCCCCGGTGGCGGCCGCCGACGCCTCGGGCCCACCGACCACCACGCCGAGCTCCATCTCGCTCAGGCTCCGCTTCAGGCCGCGCCGCTCCGCGCCCAGCTCCTCCTCCTCGCCCGACTCCGAGTCGCCCTCGCTGCCGCTGTACAGGGCCCCCGTGGTGGGCGCCGGGGTGGTTGCCGCCGCTGCCGCAGCCTCCCGCTCGAGGCGGCCCGGCCCGAGTCCCGCGCCGTTCCCCGGGACCCGGCCCCCGTTAGTCCCGCGAGTCCCGCCGCCGCCGCCCGGCCGCCCCGTCGGGGTCCGGTTCAGGCTGCCCCCCAGGGCCGAGCCCCGGCCCAGAGCCGCCGCGGCCCCAGCTTGGCTCGGTAACATGGCGCTCAATGCAGGAGGACGGACAAGCAGTCAGCGAGGAACCGGAGCCGCCGCCGCCGCCGCCATCGGCTTCCCGGCTCCACCTGGCACTCCCGCTGCTGCTAGTGCCGCTATCGCTGCCGCGGCGGCCGCTGCGAACCCGGGGCTCCTGCACGCCCGGGCCGACCTGGGCCCTCACTTTCCTGCCCCTGTGGCCCGGGTTGCCCCAGGCCGCGCGCAGCGCCCCCTGTCCGTATGCTAGGGTGGCGCGCCCGGCGGCCGTCAGCGTCCCCCAGGGGGCAGGGGCTGCTGGCCGCGGCCGCGACGGCGGGTGGAGGGGGCCGGGACCACGCGCTGGCGGCGGAGGGATCCCCCGACCCTTCCCCCCATATAAAGAGATACAATGTTTCCTTTTATGGCGAGGCCGCTCCTTATATGGTGAGCCCCAGCGCCCCCGCCCCATTGGTCCGCGGTTCCGGCATCTCCGTTTCCCATTGGCCCGCAGGGGGCGCTTATTTGCATAGACATACCGAACTCGCTGCTGTCATCCCGCGTCAGACCGCAACTCTGAAAGGGGAGGAGCCGACACCCCTTAAAGGAACAGGAGAGGAGGCACGACTCCGCCCCCCTGAACCAGAAAAAGGTAGAGAATTGGGAGACACCAGCGGAGAGGAAGCCTGGGAGAGGACTAGAGCGCAGTCTTGGGGAGAAATAGCAACGTTGGGAAATGGGAGATCGGGGGTTGGAAGAAAACACTGAATGGATTGTGGGGTTTGCAGTAAATGAGAAAATCCAGCCAAAATTCCAAGGAAGGAGTGCACGGATGGATTGGAATATGGTTCAACCTGTAACGCCAACGAAAGTTTTATGCGTGCCTCCCTGAGGGAGGCAAAGTTATTGGCCGAGCGGAGGGGGTTGGGTCCTGGGTGTCCAGACTCGTTGTCTGGACCGGAGCCCCAGCCGCTCCGCCCTAACCGTTCCCCTCCCCCCCCGACTTCCCTTCCCTTTCCCTCCCTTTTTTAGGCGACGCCAGTTTCCCACTAGGCCGGCTCCCTGGTCCTCATCCATCATCCTCTACACTGGGGGGTCTCTTGCGGACTTCCATCTGGAAAAGTCCTGGGGGGCAGAGAGACCCTCGGCCTCCCAGTCCCCGATGGGGGCAGGGAGGAGAGATAGAGATCAGTGAAGACTTCCAGCTGCAGGCTGGGCTGGGGGAGGGGGTGGTTAAGCTCACCCCACAGTCAGTGCAAAGGCCTGAGAGAAAAGTGCAGCCGGGCAGAAAGTTCAAGCAAGCAAGCACACACACACACACACACACACACACAGGCACGCGCGCGCGCGCGCAATCCACTCTGAAAAGCCAAGGAAAACCCCATAGGAGAAAGACATTTTTTAAAAGGTAAGAACTAAGGGGTGCTGCAAAACCAGGTTAGGGTTTGGGTCTGGGTCTTTGCTCCAAGGCAGTGAAAATAGCTTGAACTTTGCTGTTACAGAAATTATTCAAATCTGGAATCTGCTCAGTTTAGTAGCCCTGTACCTGGAAACAAGTGATTTGGTTTCTCCAAGCGCCATATTCCTCAATGTCAGTATCTATCCCAAGAGGTTCTTAATGCAGATTTAATGAGATAAAGACTAAAGGGCAAAGTGGCCAGTGGTCCAATAGGAGCTAGCTGGGGTAAGTCACCTCATCCCAGGGATAAAACATCCCGGTGTGTTTAAGGTAATGGAAAAGTGTGATGATTCCTGCCTTAAAAGTTATTGCGGGCCAGGCGGGTGGCTCATCCTAGCACTCTGGGAGGCCTAGGCGGGCTGATTGCTCAAGGTCAGGAATTGGAAACCAGCCTGAGCAAGAGCAAGACCCCACCTCTACTATAAATAGAAAAAAATTAATTGGCCAACTAACATGTAGAAAAAATTAGCCGGCACGGTGGCGCATGCCTGTAGTCCCAGCTACTTGGGAGGCTGAGGCAGGAGGATTGCTTGAGCCCAGGAGTTTGAGGTTGCTGTGAGCTAGGCTGATGCCACGGCATTCACTCTAGCCTGGTAACAAAAGTGAGACTCTGTCTCAAAAAAAAAAAAAGTTATGGTGGGCGAGGTGCAGTGACTCGCTCCTGTAATCCTATCACTTTGGGAGGCCAGAGTTTGGAGGATCCCTTGAGGCCAGGAGTTTAAGACCTGCCTGAGCAGCATAGGGAGACTCCATTTCTACAAAAAATTAAAAAATAAGCTGGGCCTGATGCCACACATGTAGTCCCAGCTACTCCCAGCTACTCGGGAGACTGAGACAGGAGGATCTTTTGAGCCTGGGAGTTTGAAGCTGCAGTGAGTTATGATGACACCACTGCACTCTAGCCCTGGCAACTGAGCAAGACTCTGTCTCAAAAAAAAAAAAAAAAGTTATTGTGAATATTAAGTAAAGCAGTTGGTTGTGACCCATCATGGTAGTGGTACTGATATCAATTTAGAATACTGCAACCAGCATTTAAGAGAATTAATGAGTATCACAAAAAGCAAGGGTATGGTTGCATAAGACTTTTGTTTGCATTATATATAGGTTGAACCATATAAACTGCTATTTTATGGGTCAAGAGGATGGGATATTAACAATTTCATATGGTTCAATGTATATGTGACTTTATACCCATCAACAGTTTTGGCCCCTGAACCTGCAGTAATCCAATATCGTAGGTGTAAATTGACAATGTCTACTGCTTTTCTTACTGTGAGTCACAATCCAAAAACTTTGAGAAATACTGAAACAAGTGTGTTCAAGTGATTTATGAGATATGTGTGTCCATATACACATACTATACACATATGTATATATAAACATGGACTTGCCCTAAATACAGGAATAAGAGCCCTCTTCCTCCTACTTCCCAATAGTTTTAAAGAGTTTTTTTTTTTCTTTTCCTAATTTACACTATACAACAGGTAGTTAAACATATGGAATGTTACTGAAGAGGAAAAACAGGTCAAATAGATAAATAGGTTCCAGAAGGGTTTCAGGAGCCACAAATGGTGCTTTGGGATGTGTTTTGTCTGTGCAGCACAATGTTACAACCACAACCCTGGGGTTTCATTCCCACCTGGCCTCTAAAGACTTTTTTGTCTGAGACCTCTAGTTTAAATATAAGCAGGGCTGACAGCCTGCAGCAGCGGCAGCCCAGAGGACAACTGCTGTCTGCCACATCCACAGGCATGTCTGGGAAGAGCGCTTTTTTCAAATAGGCTGTCCTCTCTCCAACTTCACCCAACCAACTCCTGGGTCACTGCACACCAGTGTCAATGCCACAGCTCCTTTGACTGCTTGGGGTGGCTTCATATTCACAGCCCTTCGCCACCACAGGGAGGCAGGAGAAGACTTACACCCACATTGTTGGATTACTGGGGGGGGGGGCAAAACTGTTGATGGGAATAAAGTTAAAATAAAAAACTGGCTCAAACTGTGTTCTGTTTGGATCTTATAATATTTAAAAATCAGGAGATTTTACATAAACATCAGAACATCTGACCTCTCTCAAAAAAGTGGGATTGTTGGCAATGCCAGTCCTAGGTACCCACAGAGCACTATGCTGAGTGGTGGCCATAGAAGAGGCATCTGCTCTCTGTGTCACGACAGACCCATGTGGCCCACTGAGTTCAGGTAAGCTCCCTGCCTGGTATTGCTGAAACGTGAGCTTGATACTCCTCCAAAAAGTAGCTCCCTGCAAGAGGTGGGAGCTCATGTCCAGCCCAGACCATGAAGGGCCTCCAGAAGTCCACTGGAATTCCAGCCAGATCTCACACCACACAGTTTCCACCCCAGCCTGCCCTTCTTTCTTCTGATTTTTTATCACCCAAATAATGTCAAAAGGGTTGCTTTTAAAAATTACTGCCACAACGCCCTATAACTATTTTTACTTGGAATTAACCTTTACACAGGGATTCATAACTTTGCATAGTGGCAAAGAGGGTCTCGATTGTGAAGGCGGCCTTAGAGCAAGTGGAAAGGAAGTTATGAGTGTTTCCAGGAAAAGTCTGGAAAGCCACACTCCAAACTTAACAGTGCTTCCCTCTGGAGAGTGAGGTTTAGGATGAGAAGGGTGTGTTTTTTGCTTTATAGAAGTCTGTGCCATTTGACTTCATCATAATCAGTATTACTTTGATATAATTGTTTTCTCTTAAAATTAAGCAACATTTGAAACAGGGCAGAGGTAGAATAAATAGATTTTGATGGGCTGCACAGGGAGGGAAGGTGCACAGAAAAATTAAGATTTTGAGTAAGGGTGACTATTCTCCAAAGAGTAGTACCATTAATGGAAACAAGGAAATTGGGTAGAAGAAGAGGTTTGAGAGAGAGAAGAGTTAAGTTTGGGCCCAGGGAATCTGGCAGAATAAAATGTCTAGTAGGAAATGGGGCAGAGGCATAGGCTAGGATTAGAGCTAAAACTTTGGGGACTGTACACTCTGAAGGGCCAGCTAAAGCCACATGAGATCAGTCTCGAGGGTGGGAAAGTAGGAAAAGGAAGGCCAAGGACAGAGTCTCAGGAGAAAGACTGGTCAGAGGAGCTGGAGACAGCACACCCTCACAAAAGTTGAGAGAATGTGAAGAAGAAGATGTGGCCAACAATGTTAGCCACTGCAGAGCAGTCAAGGAAGAACAGGACCTACTTCTAGAGTAGTACCTTTCAAATATTTCTGAGTGCAGCCCACAATAAGAAACCATTTTTGGACTGCAAATTAGATGATTGCTCCCAATTCTTCACGGCCTTTGTTGGAATTACACACACACACATCCTTTGCCACATGACTCTGCAGTATCTCCTCCTGGTGCTGATGTTGGGTTTCCCCAGGCTTTGGCCAATAAAATGTCAACAGGCTTCTGGGCTTTTGGTTTTGTTTCATTTAGAGATGGGGTCTCGCTATGTTGCCCAGGCTGGAATGCAGTGGCTATTCACAGGTGTGATTATAGCACAAGACAGCTTCAAACTCTTGGGCTCAAGCAATTCTCCCATCTCAGCCTCCTGAGTAGCTGGGACTACAGGTGTGCACCATCACACCCGGCTCAGACTTGTGGTTTTAAATGTGCTTGCATGATTTGGCCTTACCTCTTGTGCTTCTGCCACTGCATAAGATCATACTCCAGGTGCCAGCAGATTAGACCTAAACTAGACTTACAGCCTAGCACCAAGCCCCACTGAATCAAGATCAGCCAAACCTCACCAACCTACAGATCCATGAATGAGAAAAATGTCTGTGGTTGTAAGTGACTGAGACTTGGGGATTATCATGTGGCATCACCACCCCAATAGCTGACTAATACACAATCCAACATATAATACATGTATGTATCAAATATAACAGTTTTGTGAAACAATACTTACCATTACAGTATACAATGTACTCTGAGAGTTTCTATTATGGTTCACTTTTTTTAAATGCTGGTTGCAACCCAGAGTTTAAAAAAAAACTACTACTCTAGAGAATTTTTTTTTTCACTTCATCGCAACTGAAGAATGTAACACACAGTGTATATCAGCAATAGTGGCTCACTTACTAGCTGTGTAATCTTGGGCAAACTATCTGACTGTCCTAAGCCTCAGTTTCCTAATCTGTGAAATGGGAGTAATATCATCTGGTTAAGAGTAGCTGCAGATGGCGTGGATGTGGAGAGAGAGGAACACTCCTACACTTCTGGTGGGACTGCAAACTAGTTCAACCTCTGTGGAAAGCAATACGGAGATACCTCAAAGCGATACAAGTAGATCTACCATTTGATCCAGCAATTCCACTACTGGGCATCTACCCAAGAGATCAAAAGTCACTTTATGAAAAAGACACCTGCACTCGAATGTTTATAGCAGTACAATTCACAATTGCAAAGCTGTGGAAACAACCCAAGTGCCCATCAATTCATGAGTGGATTAATAAAATGTGGTATATGTATACCATGGAATACTACTCAGCTTTAAGAAACAATGGTGATATAGCACCTCTTGTATATTCCTGGATACAGCTGGAACCCATTCTACTAAGTGAAGTATCTTAAGAATGGAAAAATAAGCACTACATGTACTCACCAACAAATTGGTATTAACGGATCAACACCTAAGTAGACATATAGGAGTAACATTTATCAGGTGTCAGGAGGGGGGAGGAAGGGACGGGTATATACAACCACAATGAGTAAGATGTGCAATGTTTGGGGGATGGACACGCTTGAAGCTCTTACTCAAGGGGGAAAGGGGGCATGGGCAATATATGTAACCTTAACACTTGTACCCCCATAATACGCTAAAATAGAAAAAAAAAGAGTAGCTGCAGAAAGTAAATGAGATAATGCATATCAAGTGAATCAAGTGACTACTACAGAGCATACCTTTACATTTTCATTACTGAGAAGTTTGGTGAGGAACAAAAGGAACTAGAGCAATTTCAGAGTTAAGGACTCATTTCTTTAGGATAGGGGCCCCTGCTGAAGTTATTGGAATGAGGCAGAGGATAACTGATGACACAAGGTCTAGGTATTAAGTACCACCTCTCTACCTACTTGATCTACCCCCTAAAGTCAGAGTCCTAAGACTGTCATTAACTCTAACTTGTTTCCCCTCACACTTCTGCCCACCCTATCTAAGCATGAGGACTAGGCCAGCCCGCAGAGAATGAGCAGCGGACAGACAGCGACACAGGGTCATACAACAGCAGGTGGTCCCGCCTACTCCATGCCCTTGTTCTCAGCTGCCCTGCACACTGGAGAGAAGAGCCAATATCTGCCAGTTAATCTTGCCCAGGCCCCACCAGACTCCATGCAGGCACACGGTGCCTTCTCATCAGCAAGGGAAGAAGGAACATCATTTGTAAGCAAAAGCAGGGAGTGAGCCTCAGAAACAAGTTGTAAAAAAGGCTTCTTTATTGAGAGCAGCGAGTGTAAAAAAAACAAAAACAAAAACAAAACAAACAAAAAACAACAATAAAAGTGTGAGGCAGGGGTGGCCCAACCTCCCCCTCTCCTCCAGGGGCCCACCCCTTCCTCCCATACCCACCCACCCCACGCTGCAATTACATACAAAAGCCGCCCAGGGTGCATACAAAAAGGGCGGGTTATATAGTGTTAAAAGCTCCTGAAAACTCCTTCATCTGCCAGGCACTTAGGATGAGGAAAGGAGAGATGGGTGAGGGGAAGGATGGGTCTGGGTCAATGTGCACAAATCCACGTGGGGAGGACTCACTTGCTGTGTCCTCCATAATCCTGGTCTAGACCCCCAGTTGGGACCCGTGGGCCAAGAGACTCCTCGGCTCTGTGTGCCCAGAACTTGAGTATATTAAGGAAGTTCCCCCAAACCCAGGCCATCCCCCACCTAGCCCTCCCCAGGCAGAGTTGGCAGGTGAGTGGCACAGCTGAACCTGGTCAAGGAGAGAAGTTGCAGGCCAGAAATTGGGGTTACCTGAGGCACCCACATGTCCCTGATGGGGAAAGGGGTGGCAGAGAAAGCTGCCCAGCCCAAGGCCCTAGTCACCCAGTCTGGGTCCAAATCGGCCTCCTCAAGAGCTGAGGGTGAGGAAGAGGAGGAAAGCCCAGGTCCTGCGCAGACCTCAGCAATGCCTGTGGTGCTATGGCATGGGCCCCAGGGCTCAGGAGGACAGAGATCTTGCCCGTCATGCTGCAGGCTCCCCTCAAGAGGTGTCCTCCTCTGCCCACGCCATCCTGAGGCACAGCCTGCTGGGCTCCCTCCTCACGGCTTGCTGTCCGCGGGGCTGTCTCCCAGGGTGTTGGCGATCTCACTGAAGGAGGGCCGGTCCTTGGGGCTGAGAGCCCAGCAGCGCTGCATCAGCCGGTAGAGCTTGGAAGGGCAGCCCTCAGGCTGTGGAAGTCTAGCCTTCCCAGCCTGCAAATCTGTAGGCAAGAGAGTGGATGAAGTGTTGGTCAAAACATTTAATGACCTGTCCAATACTTGGTGGAGCTCGCAGTTGCCACAAATAGCAACATGAGGATGACTCTGGGGGAGTGCTGGCTAGTGGTAGGTGGGCACGTGCAGCCAACAGATGACTCCCCCTACCCCCAGCTCACTCTGGCTGATAGAGCAGGGTCCATGCAGCACAGGCCCATGCATGGAGCCCAAGTGGGTTACCCCACAGGTGTCAGAGTGGCTGGAGTGGGCACTGGGGTGAGGGCTATTTACCAACCAATGTGAAAGCATTTCAGTATTTTAACAATCTGAGTGGTTGTATCTGTGTACCTGTTAACCACCAGCCCTGAGAGGGGAGGCAGGCTGAACTGGGCCAGGGGACCATCTGAAACCATCCCCCGGAATCATGGCTGCCTACCTGCCAGCACTTCATCATCTGCCTGCCCGTCATGGGGCATCTCTCCATGGGTGAACACTTCCCACATCAGCACTCCGAAGGCCCAAACATCGGACTTGGTGGAGAAGTCACCCTCCAAGATGGCCTCGGGGGACATCCAGCGCAGCGGCACCCAGGCCTGGCGGAAGTGGTAGTACTCACTGCAGGAGAAAAGCAACATAGGGATGGGGGTGGGGCAGAGGACACAGCCTGGTGGCCCAGCCTCATCCCACATCTGGGACTCATCCCCAGGCTACTTCGAGGCACCCAGAGAAATTGGTAATATGAATTCTGAGCATGGGAGTACACTGGATGAAATCTAGAGGCACCACATGGGGTTTGATGGTTTAAAAATTCCATTAAGAATCAAACTAGGACCGGGTGCGGTGGCCCACGCCTGTCATCCTAGCACTCTGGGAGGCTGAGGTGGGCGGATTGCTAGAGGTCAGGAGTTCAAAACCAGTCTGAGCAAGAGCGAGACCCCGTCTCTACTATAAATAGAAAGAAATTAATTGGCCAACTAATGTATATAGAAAAACTTAGCCGGGCATGGTGGCGCTGGCTTGTAGTCCCAGCTACTCGGGAGGCTGAGGCAGTAGGAGTGCTTGAGCCCAAGAGTTTGAGGTTGCTGTGAGCTAGGCTGACGCCATAGCACTCACTCTAGCCTGGACAACAAAGTGAGACTCTGTCTCAAAAAAAAAAAAAAATCAAACTGGCTAAATGTTAATAGAAGAAAAAGCTAATAATCATTCATACTTTCTATATTGGTTTAAGAATGTGAAAAACAAGAACTCATTAAATGGAAAGAGCTTTATTAGTGATAAACCAAACATGAGTAAACAACAGTCAGACAAACAAGGGTGATTTGGAACTAGGGTGACTCAAAAGGAAATTCCTGGGAGGCATTATGTAGCATGGGTAGGCACTCCAGAACAATCTTAGACCATGAGTGCTGAGCTCTAAGTCTTGGGCTTGAAAATAATAATTACTGAATTCAGGTAGTTACAGAGGGATCCACACGAATAGTTAAACTATATACAAACTGTTACCAAGTTTTCCTTCTTATAAAAAAAGGTTTATAATCTTTTATCACTAGAGAAAATTTATAGCTATCAGGGACTTACAGCCCACTGGCTGAGAAGGCTCTGCCCCTCCAGCTTTGTACTAAGCATGCACTAAAGCCCTTTCCCACACCCCCCAAACTTTATTTGCCCTCTAGGAAGGAGTGGGGAGCCCCCCTCCCACCCACGCCCTTTTACCTGTTGTAAACATCCTTGCTGAGGCCCAGGGCCGACACCTTCACCTGTCTCTGGGCGCTGACCAGGCAATTGCGAGCGGCCAAGTCCTTATGCACAAAGCGGTTGTTGGACAAGTGCTCCATGCCCAGGGCCACCTGGGTGCACAGGGCCACCTGGAGAGACAAAGGGGTCTGTCAGAGCAGCCCAGGACTAGGGGTCAAGGTGACCACCCTCAACACAACCCTTGATGAGGCCTCAATGCTATCAGTGTGCTGCTTAGGAAGCCCAGAAGCGTAACAGCCTCAGCTTCCTTCTCTGTAGAATGG